GTATGTAGCTCAGTGGTGGAGTGCTTGTGCCAGACCCTAGGCTCAATGCCTAACACCACAAAAACAACAAAAAAGCACAGGCAGTAGGGGTGTGATTTACCCAGAGTGCAGGGAAGGAGGGGGTAACAGACAATGCTGTGTTTTGTTGGTACTGGAGATCAAACTCAGGACCTTGCACTTGCCAGGCAGGTGCTTATGCAGCTGAGCTATCTCCTTGGGCCTGGTAATGCTGTTCTGAGGAGCAAGTAACTGGTCCTCTTAGTTGTTGTTGCTTTGTTTTGTGGGCCTCTATGTGCTGTGGCTGGTCTTGAATGTCTGGATTTAAATGATCTTCCTACCTCAGCCTCCTGAATAGCCTCCTGCTCAGCTTCCTCTGAAGGGTTGTTTTGTCTTGAGACAGGATTTTACTACACAGATCAGGCAGGCCTTTAGCTTTTTTTTTTTTTTTTTTAATTCTTTTTAAATTTTATTTATTTATTAATTTGTGTGTGTGTGTGTGGCCAGCTCAGCCCACCAGGGGGCGGGGCTGGCTGGCATGTGGTGCTGGGGGATTGAACTGCGGTCCCTGTGCTTTGCCAAACTTGTTCTACGTAGGTGCTTTAGACCACTGAGCCATCTCACCAGCCCCCTTGAGCTTATTTTGTAGCCCCAGCTGTCCTTGAACTTGTGGCGATCCTCCTGCTTCCTCCTCCTGAGTGCTGGGATAACAGGCATGTACTCATCTGGCTTCCTCTGAAGTTTTTAATCAACTGTAAAGGGCATCACAGTTTCCTGCCTCTGTGCCCCAATCTGTTCTGTTCTACAGCAACCTACTGGTCAGAGAGGTAAATATGTGGAGAGGAAGTACTGGGAATTGAACCCAGGGCCTCTGCATTGAACTACTCCCCCAGCCTCTTTACTTTTACATTTTTTTGAGGGTCAGGGAGATGGCTCAGTAGAATAAGCTCTTGCCTGGCAAGTGTAAGGGCCTGAGTTCAATCCCTGGTTCTGCCAAAAAAACCCAAAAAACCACATTGATACTTTTACAGTTTGTTTTTAGACAGTATTTTATTAAACTGATAAATTTTTCAGGTTGGGTTTGAACTTGTAATTATCCTGCTTCAGCCTCCCTGAGTGCTAATCTTGTTAAACTGTTAAAATTTGTGACCTCCTGCCTTAGCTTTCTAAGTAGCTTGGGACTACAGATGTGGGCCACCACATCCCACTAAAATATACTCTTAAATCTTTTTTGGTTTTGTGACAGATGATTTCACTCTATAAAGGCTAGCCTTGAACTCATTATATGGCCCAGCCTGGTCTTGAACTTGCAGCAAACCACCTGTGTTAGCCTCCTGAATGCTATAACTACAGATGTGCACTACTACTGATACCCAGCTAACTTTGCTTAAACTATTTAAAAAAAAAAAAAAAAAAAAAAGGTATGTTGGGTGTGATGGTACACACACACACACACACACACACACACACACACACAGAGCATAGAGGTGAGAGGGTTGGCTGAGCCATGACTAGCCTAGGACATAATAAGACACTGTCAAAAAATGTATTATTTCTCTTGATGCTGGGGATGAGCCCAGGGCAGACACCCTGTGTAACTGCAGGCTCTTGTTCAAACTGCTTAAAGAACAGTGGTGGTAGAAAGAGCCAGCCATGTTCTCTTTCACCAGCTCAAACACTTCTAACCTACTTTCTTAAAAAAGCAATTAAAGGCACAAAGACACACAGGCAAGAGGCAGAGCGTCCAAGAGCTGTTTATGGCTAGCTGATGTAGTCTTCTGATGTTCTGTAAAGGCATCAAGTCAATGCTTTCTAACACATACAGTTAAACACCGTATTCTCTTTTACTCCCATTCTACCTTTGGGTAAATACACTTTAATGGGCTTTGGCTGCCCTTCTTTCCACAACCCAGGGCTCAAGCACAGCAGGTATATTTGTGACAGGGCATGCACCTTTCTAGGGCTTGATTTATATTCTGCTCTTCTCTCTGGCACTTCCAACTGCGTTCTCTGAGCTCATAAAAACATATATGTAATGAATGTAATTTTGGACTTTAAAGCATCAAAAGCTTGGGTACACAGGGCCACAGCATGGGCCCTTTCTTGCTGGAGGGACACCAGCTTGCTTCTGTATTACGGCTAACATATTAGGAAGTTTAAGCAAATGCTGCTTGGCTAGCGATCTGCCCCTGTAATAGGAATAAGCAGGGCCCTGATCAAATGCCAAAGCCTAGCCTTGCAAGAAACAATGTACTTTTTGTTTTGAGAATAACCTTAGATTGATTGATTTTTCTTGGTGGAACCCGGGGATTGAACTCAGGCCCTTTTGCTTGCCAGGAAAGCTCTTATTCTACTGAGCCATCTCCCTGGCCCAACCTTAGATTTAAACTGACACTTATGACTCAAAATCCTGCAGGAGGAATAACCATCTGGAGAGTAAATTAAAAAAGCAATATTACTGATAAGATCATGAAAAAGAATGCAATACTAACAATTAGCTTGTATAATGAAAGGTATAAAAACATTTCTAAAGAATTTAAAAAGATAACAGAAAAGATGGATTTTAATACTGCTGTCAGTGGCATCCTCAAGTTATAGATTTAATATAACTTCTATGAAAATCTTAATGACTTTTGCACAGAAATAGAAAATCTTACCCCAAAATTCATGACATCTCAAGGGATTATGAATAATCAAAATACTTCAAAAAAGAACAAAGGCAGAAGACTCACTTTTTAATTTACAAATCCGGAGGTGGAGGTGCATGCCTGTAATCCCAGAATTTGGGCTCAAGCAGGAAGATCACCGAGTTTAAGGGCAACATGTTATTTAGTGACTTCAAGGCCTACTGAATTAAACAGCGAGACCTTGTCTCAAAACAAAAAATAAATATTTCAAGGCTAGTGTCAACAACATACAGAAGCTATTTCAAAACACAAAACTACAAAGCTAGTAAGCACCTGCCTGGCAAGCGCAAGGTCCTGAGTTTGATCCCCAGGATGAGAAAAACTAACTACAAAGCTACAGTAATCAAAAAACTTTATTCTACTGGTTGAAGACAAAACATAAACCAATGGAATAGAGCTGAGAAACAGACCTTCATATATATGGTCACATGATTTAAGAAAAGGGTCCCAAAGCTGGAGGTGGTGACACATGCCTGTAATCCAGCATTCAGGAGGCTTGAGGCAGGAGGAGGTCATGAGTTTGAGGCCAGTCTGAACTATATAACAAGACTGTCTCAACCCTCCCCCCACAAAAATAAATGGAAAAAAAAAAAAAATAACATGCGTCAGCCCGATAGCTTAGTGGACTAAAGCACCTGTTTAGAGAGAACACAGCGGCCAAGGTTTCATACCCAGCATGTAGTGTTGGTCCTGCCCCCGGGCGCACTGAGACAGCCATTGAGACCAGGGGTGGCATGCCTATAATCCCAGCACTTGGGAGGTTGAAAACAGGAGAATCACTACAAGTCCCATCTACGTAGTGAGACCTTAACCTGGATATTCACATGCAAAAGAATGAAGTGGAGGGGGCATGGCCCTAGCTCAGGCCTTTAAGTGGCTGCTTCCACAAAGCTCTCAGCCTCAGGTTGCTGGAGTTCAAACCTCAGAACTCTTCCGCTGGCCAAAAGTGCCCTGAAGCCATTCGAGGAACAAAAAAAAAAAGAATGAAGTGGAGCCCCCAAATACAAGTATTCCAAATGGATCCATGATCTAAGTGTAAGACCTAAACTATAGAATTGTGAAGTCAGGACAAAACGCCATGATGTAGGATTTGTCAGTGATTTTGATATGACACCAAGGCAATAACAAAAAGAAACTAGATTACATACATATTAAAAGTTATATCTTGTGCATCTTAAATCTCTTTACAGATGAGCATAATGGCACATGCCTGTAATACCAGCTTCTAGGTAAGCAGAGGCAAGAGGATTACAAATCTGAACCCTGTCTGGGCAATTAATGAGACCTGTCCCAAAATAAAAACTAAAAAAGTAGCTCAGTATAAGATCCCAGTACCAAAGCAAAAAAGTAACACTGTATCACTGATAGCTTTAAAAAATGAAATGACAGTACTTTTTCAAAATTAAATTATTTGAACTTGGTACTTTATTACTCTTAGGACTTTGCAGGTCCAATGTGGTGGCACATGCTTGTCATCTCTACACTTGGGAGGTTGAGGCAAGAGGATTACTCTAAGTTCAAATCCAGCCTGAGCTACAGTGAGTCCAAGCCAACTACACTGTGAGACCCTGACTCAAAAAAAGTTGACTTCACAAATTTTTAAAGTAAACACAGAAGCACTGTGTTCACTGCCTTCTCCTCCTATTCCAAGTTTATGTAATTCTGGAAAATAAACCATGAAGCAAGCACTCAGAACACTGCAATTTCTTAAGTTATTAGTATCATCATTATAGTGTACTGGGGGGCTGAATCCAAGACCTTCTCACTGAACCATACCCTTATACACTCCTTTCTGAAAAACTTACAATTTTGAGACGGGGTTACACTAAATTGTTAAATCGCCCAGATTGGGCTTGAATTTGTGATCCCACATCCCCCAACCCCCGTGCGGGAATTACAGCCCTACACTACCACACCTAGCTCAAATAAAGTACCTTATATAGCCAGGCATGGCGGTTGGTGCACACCTGCAATCCCAGCACTTGGAGGCTGAGGCAGGAGAGTAAGTTCACCTACAAAGTGAGTTCAAGGACAGCCTGAACTGCACAGGGAGAACTTGTCTCAAAAAAACAAAACAAGGGGCCAGAGAGATAGCTCAGCAGACTAATCTCCTAGGCAAGCAGGAGGAGGGACCCAATTTGATCCCTGGCACATGCTACGCCAGCCCCGCCCCTAGGCACACGGAATTGGCCACTGAGACTGTTGTGGGCCTGTAATACCAGCACTGGGGAGGCTGAAAACAGGACCGAGCTGTGTAGAGAGACCCTGTACCAAATACATAAAAAACAACAGTACCTCATATGCATTAAGCATTCAGAAAATGTTAATTACTCCTTTAATACTAATTTTACAAGCACAGGTAGAGGCAGTTTTCCAAAGGTAAAAAATAAGATGGAATCTCATTATGGAAAAGTCTGAGTTAAGAAAAAAAACAGAACAATTAGGACATAGTATTCCTTTATTTTTTACACATTGACAGAAGTTTTTCAGTAAACAATCACTGCAGTGGAAAAGAGCATGAAGATCAGCCTCCAGCCATTGGCAGCTGCCCTGCTCAGGGCCTAGGCTCTTCCTTGCCCAAGTGGTGAGGTGGTGGGGTGTACGTCCCTTCCTTTATTAGCTTATCCCGTTGCTTCTTGATGGCACTCATACGTTTCATCTGTCCAAAGAAAGAAAGCACTTAAAGTAGAGGGAAAATATGCACCAGAAAGCAAAGACTGGAGAAGGTAAACTACTTTTGGTTTCATCCTCTACCCCCACCACACCTCACTGGTACTGGTGTGAATCCTGAGCCTGCACACTGAGCTACATCCCTAGGACCTTGCTTAGTTTGAGACAGTTTGCTAAGTTACTAAATTGTCCAGGTTGGGCTTGACTTTGTGGACCTCCTGCCTCAGCTTCCTGAGTGCTGAAATCATAGGCAGTGCCACCATGCACAGCTTGGTATCATCTGTAAGTTCTGGAAGACTTTTCTTTCTAGAGTGCCTCTGAGATGAAGTCTTTTTCTTCCTCTGCTTTGGTGCTAGAGATTGAACAGGGCCCATGTATGGCAGATGAGTACTCTACAACTGAGCTATGCTCCCAGCACTAAATCTTAACTTTAAATGGATTCCCAGGGCTTTTTTTTTTTTTTTTTTTTAATAGTCAACAGACTTTATTTTTTTTTTTTAATTTTTATTTATTTATTTATGTGTGTGTGTGTGGCCAGGTGTGTGTGTGTGTGTGTGGCCAGCTCAGCCCACCAGGGGGCGGGGCTGGCTGGCATGTGGTGCTGGGGGATCGAACCGCGGTCCCTGTGCTTTGCTAAGCTTGTTCTAAGTAGGTGCTTTAGACCACTGAGCCATCTCACCAGCCCCTCCCAGGGCTTTTAACAAATTTCAGTTACACATAATAATGCCTTAGAATCTAATAACTAAAATGCCTTTTCCCCCTCTTTATACACACATAAATACACAGTATATTATATGGATTCAGTATTTACAAAGATTTTAAGCATTTTTGTAAAATCTTTTCAAATATATATTAAAAGATAAGATCATCACACAGTTTATATATTCCTTTTCAATACAAAAGTGGCACTGCTGCTGGGTGACTGTTCCACACGTATAGAGGAAGCAGAAATAGCCAATACAAAGGCTCCCTTTTTTAAAAACACCAAGAGCCAGGGAGATAGCTCAGTAGAATAACTACTTGCCTGGCAAGTGCAAGGTCCTGAGTTCAATCCCTGGTACCGTAAACAACAACAAAAAAACCCCACCAAGTTCCATATGTGTGCAGATACTAGTCATTGCTGAGACCCGAGTTCTGTTTTTTCTCCTCAGATTGGCCACTGTTTGCTTCCCAACAAATCAGAGCCATGCTACAAGACTATGTCAAAGCTGCAGCAATAAGCTAGCTTCTGTGACATAGAAATGATACTCATGGGCTTCTCATCTTACTAAGAGAAAACAATGAAACCTTATAAGGACGACCTGACTTTATCTCCTAATACCCTTCCCTAGCTCTCTTCTTTCTACTTAAAGGTCTCTGTACTTGCTGTTCCCTGGACTGGAACATTTTCCCCTTCTATCTATGTGACTTAAAAAAGTCTTTGCTCAAATGTCCTTTAATGCTGAGCTCATCTCTGATTATCCTAATACTTCACCCAGCTCTCCCCCAACACTTTCTATCCTTCCTTATTGCATTTAGCAATTTTAATTGTAAATTTTGTCCTTTATCCCACCAGAATATAAGCTTCATGAAGTCAGGACCTTCTTGCTGTTTTGCTTACTTTTTTTTGGTATTTTAGAGAAGGGTCTACAGGGTATTCAGGGTCTCACTACTAGATCGATTCCTAGTGATCCACCTGTTTACAGCCTCCTAAGAGCTGGGATTACAGGAAAGTGCCACTACGCCCAGTCTCAATTGCCAGCTCAGCAGTGCAGGGGATGGGGTGGGGCTGGCATGGCAGGCCTGGGATTGAACCTCCTGCCCCTGGGCCTGCTTGCAGTGCTTTAATCCGCTGAGATATTTGGCCAGCCCTAGATTCTTATTTAGAATAGTTCTTGACACAATAGATGCCCCAATATTTTTTAAATGAATGACTTTCTTTTCCCAAAAGCATGAACAATTAGTATATTCAGCTAAACATGTCATTAACTTCGAAGTAGTGTTGACATAACTGTGGTTAAGGAAAAAAAAAAAAGGATATTCTTACATACTGATATAAACATTCATCATTTAAGACTAATTCTTCGTGCTGCCTTGGCCCTGGCCCTGCCTGCCCAGGGCATGCTGAGATATACATCGAATGAGACTGGACATGGTGGCATGCCCCGCCTGTAATCCCAGTGCGTGGGAGGCTGAAAACAGGAGGATCATTACAAGTCCAATCTGTGTAGTGAGATCCTGTATTAAATACATTAAACAAAACAAAACACAACACTGATTCTTGCTATTATCTATTAAAAGTTTCTCAACAGAGGACTAGTCATGGTTGAGCTATGACACCACATGTGAAACCTTTCTGAGCCAGAAGCAATAACCACTTCAGTAGGCTTGGAGACATACTTCATTAGTGGAGGATTTGTCTGAGGCCCTGTTCAACATAAAGTACCAAAACCAAAAAACATCCATAAGAAAAAAAATTAAAAAGTTTAAAAAAAAATCTCTTAGTGTCATGGGTAAAAATCAGCTGTGCTGCAGCCCTATCAGGCTGAAATCTCAATTCTATCATAATTAACTGTAAATCTTAGACTCAGCAGTTCTAGAATTTAGGCAATATCCTCACATTTATTTTCTTTCCTCACATATGTTAGACAAGTACTCTGCCAATCCTTTTCAAACTTTTAGTTGCACAATGGTGAGAATAGTAAAAGTTAACTCTTATCATAGGATTGGGATAGTACTAGAGATTGAACCCTTCACACTGAGCTATAATCCTCCAGCCCATTAAAAAAATGTTTACTTACATTTTTTTTTTTTTTTTTTTTTTGAGGAACACAATTTTTTAACATTTTGAGCAGTCTTTGATTCTGGTGGACACAGTGGTACATCCCTATAATCCCAGCACTTGGAAAGCTGAGGGAGGAATATCAGTGTGAACGGGAGGCCAGCCTGAACCACGTAATAAGAACTTGTCAAGGGGGCTGGGGAGATGGCTCAGTGGAATAAGCGCTTCCTTGGCAAACACAAGGGCCTGAGTTCAATCCCTGGTTCCGCAAAAACAAAAAATAACTTGTCTTAAAAAAAAAAAGTTGGGGAGATAGCTCAGGGGTCTAAGTGCCTGTCTGGCAAGCTCAAGGACCTGGGTATCACATGTACCGACCCTACACTGAGATGGCCACCAAAAACCTGGGCATGATAGCGCACACCTGTAACCCCAGCACTGGGGAGGCTGAGACAAGAGGATCACTAAAAAGCCTGAGCTGTGAGACCCTGTACCAAATAAATAAATAGATTACAAAAAACAAAAAAAACAAAAACCAACCCCACCCCCCAAAAAAACCCTCTCCCTGACTCATTAGTGTCTTTTTTTTTTTAATGTATTTTTGAGACAGGGTCTTGCTGTGCAGTTCAGACTGGCCTTGAGCTCATTTGTATCCCAGGCTTGTCTCAAACTCACAACAATCATCATGTCTCAGCCTCCCAAGTGCTGTAATTCACTAGTATCTTCACCTATAGAAAGTATCCAAGTCCTTATGGGCAGCCTCTAAAATGGTAACTTAAGTATTTATAAACTCATTGCATTAGGAAGTGGCCACTTTGAAGTAAACTCTTAATTTTTTCAGGTCGGGAAACCAAGATCAAGAAGGGCAACTAACTGACTTACTCAAAGTCACAAAATTATTGGTGGCAGAACCAGAATCAGACCATGGCTCTTCTAATTTCCAATTCAACAGTCTTTCCACTTTATACACTTTCTTGTTGGTATAAAATGTTTCAAGTTTTTAAACTTTTTAAAAGTTTAGGGCAGGCCAAATACCTCAGCCGATTAAAGTGCCTGCTTAGGCAGATACAACATGTGGTGCGCCCGTCCCTGCCCCCAGGGCAAGCTGAGAGAAACTGAGACTAGGTGTGGTAGCGCTGGCCTGTAATCCCAGCTCTTTGGAAGGCTGAACACAGGAGAATCAGTAGGAGTCCAATCTAGTAGTGAGACCCTGTAGACCCGTACTAAAATACAACCCCCCCACCAAAAAAAAAAAAAACTCCACAAGTTTATCGGTACTTTTTTTTTTTTTTTTTGACAGAACCAGGGGATTGAACTCAAGCCCTGGCACTAGCCAGGGAAGCACTGAGTCATGTCCCTGATCTCTACTGCTACATTTTAGATACACATAATGGCTACATTCACTACAGAGAATTTGTTCCTGTATATGATATAACTTGATTCTCTCCCCCATTTCCCTGCCCTCCCTTCAACCCCTCTTCCTCTCCTTATTTATTTTTTCTTTCTGGCTGGCTCAGGCTGCCTTAAGGACTGGTCTAGTAAGCACGTGAAGCTGGGGATCAACCACTGTCTCCTGAGCCTGACTGGGTTTGCCCAAGCAGGTGCTTAAACAACTGAGCTCACCAGTAAGCCCCCTTCCCTTCCCTCTCTATTTACTAAAGCTTTGTTTCCATTATTTCTTCCTTTTCTCATTTTTAAAAATTTTCAGGTTTAGGGAAAATCTTGATATGTACAACAAATAACTGGGAGCCCGAAGAGAAATTAAGATATGTGAAGCAAATAGTTGCAAGGTACCAACTATGAAATTTGCATTGTCCTTCAGTAATACAATACTAAAATATTACCTAATGACCATTATTCCTATGAGATCAATACAAAAATGTTACCTGACACTGCCTCGTTCCTTCCCAGATTGATTTTACTTTATCTAAATGCCAACAGCAGGGGCTGGGGAGATAGCTCAATAGAATAAGTGGTTGCCTGGAAAGCTCAAGGGCCTGAGTTCAATCCCCAGTTCTGACCTAAAAAAAAATAATAATAATAAATGCCAACAGCAGGTGCTAAGAGACAAGGACTTTAAAATTTATGATCCCTGGCTGGCCAAATGGCTCAGCAGACTAAAGCTCCTGCTTAGGCAGAGTGCAGCAGCCAGTTCGATCCCCAGCATGCAGTGCTGGCTCAGCCTCCAGGCACGCTGAGAGGGCCAGTGCATGGAGACTGGGTGTGGTGTAAAGCAATCTCTGAGCCGGCCAAATAGCTCAGTGGTTTAAAGTGCCTGCAAGCAAGCACAAGGGCCAGATCCCCAGGCCTGCAGTGCCAGCCCGCCCTCACCCTCAGGGCACCCTCAGATGGCAATTGAGACTGGGCCTGGTGGTGCACACCTATAATCCCAGTACTTGGGAGGCTGTAAACGGACATATCACTATGTGTCTGATCTAGTAGTGAGACCCTGAACACCCTGTAGATGCTTCCCTAAAATACAGAAAAAATAAAGCAATTTCATTAATGTCTCTATCCTGTTCAGCATATTAAGCAAAGCCAGAGATTGTTGTATGTTCGGTGTTGTAAATCTGCTGGGTTTAACCTGTTCTCCAGGGAGGGCTCAATAAACCTGAAGAAATATTTTCACCCAAAGACTTTCAATAACAAACATCCAAAACTGGTTAACATTCTTTGCTTTACCTTCTATTGACAAAAAGAAACATACCATGTGCAATTTATAAACTGATGACTGCAGCATGGTACAGTGCTAGGGAACATCTGAGAGAAGATGAGGAAGAGGCCCTCCGTAGATCTAAAGGCACTTACCTTCTCTGTCATGGATCCTAAATCAAGATGTTTCCCATAAATGTTTTGCCAATTTACACTGGACACACAACTGCCTAATAACCAATTAAAGCACTTAAAGAGTATCCCCAAAGAAACAAAGAAATTCAGCTTTCATCTCCACCATTTTCTCACCGTTTTCTGCCGAAGTAAACACTCTACCAAATCATCATATTCTATCTTGCACTCTTTATTCGCCCGGGTAGCACCAATTCCATGTGCACATTCTAGCCATTCTTTCTCAAAAGCATGGCATCGAGAAGCAATTCTGTAGGGCTGTTCAGAACTTTGGATCGTCATGTGACGATCTAAACTAATGCCCAGTCTTTTCTGCACATCAAAGAAAGGCATGACTGTAAGGGAAGATACAAATAATAAAAATAATATTGTCATAAGAGGATAATAAAATGAAACATTCGTTAGAGCTAAAACTAAAGAATAATGCACCATAATTCTGATAGTGATAGTTATTTTTGTCAAAAACGTTCATGTGTTAACTGAATAATCCCAATCCTCTGAAACAGATCTGAAGAAAACGGAAAAGAAGTATAAGCATAAAACATTTCTTACTTTTTGTTGTTTCTTGTTTTTTATTTTTCTATGATAGTGGAGATTTATCCCTGGGCCTCTACACTGAGCTGTATTCAAGCCCGTATTTTTTGACACAGGATCTTGATAAATTGGTAAATTGCTGAGGATAGGCTCTAACATAACAATCCTCCTGCCCAGCCTCCCAGAGTGCTGGCATTACAGGTGTGAGCCACCATGCCAACCTTTTTACATTTTCTTTTCTTTTTCCTTTTTACATTTTCTATCCATTCTTTCTACAGTAACTTGGATAACACTTCTCAGAAACTGTCGGGAGCCCAGTTTCCCTTCTGTGTCGCTACAACACTCTCAATTTCCACAGTACCATTTAGATACTGTAATGGACTATTTATTTGTATGTCTTCCCCACTGGACAATGAGTACTCCAGGCCAGGGACAAACAAGAGTCTCAATTACTGGTGAAAAACATTTCAAACGTAAATATGCAAACAATAGAGGAATGGGTCATTAAATTCTGGTACTGAGTAGAATATGAGATACAGGGAAAAGGTACTAATATACACAGCAAACATATAACTATGTTAAAGAAGCATCGAGGGGCCAGGGAGATGGCTCAGTGGAATAAGCACTTCCCTGGCAAGCACAAGGGCCTGAGTTCAATCCCTGGTTCCACCAAAAGAAAAAAAAAAAAAAAAAAAAGAGGCATCGAGAAGCAATTCTGTAGGGCTGTTCAGAACTTTGGATCATCATGTGACGATTTAAACTAATGCCTAGTCTTTTCTGCACATCAAAGAAAGGCATGACTGTAAGGGAAGATACAAATAATAAAAATAATATTGTCATAAGAGGATAGAGGAGGACAGAGGAACAGGAGAGGGACGGGGAAGGGGTAGAGAGTCGGAGCTAGAAAGAGAGGAATGGAGAGGGAATGACTAGAACACTGAAGAACACACACACAGCAGAACACTGTGCGCTCACACATACAAAGGTGAATTTTCAGTAACCAAACACGCACAGCAGATTTACTGACGAATTCAACTTCTAATGTTTCTTTTACTGAGGAATTATAATCCAGGCACTGAGATGGAAAGTAGCAGCCCAAGGAACGTGCGCACTACCGGCACACACTGGGAACAGGGAACACACTGGAAAGAACACCGACGGTCACAGCTCAAAGGAAAAAGCATCCAGAAGGGTTACAAATTCATGAGACGGGTTAAGTGCTCGCCACGTGAAGGTCAGCGGGCAGAACGCACGAGTGGGGCAGCGGAGTTACAGCGGGCGGCGCAGCGTGCGCGGGGACCCCGAGGCCAGAGCAGTGAGAGCGCAGCGCGCGAGGGGGAGAGCGAAAAGCGCTGAAGAGGCTGGCGTGGCCAGCGCGCTCGAAGGCCCGGAAAATGAGTGGATTTCTGGTTAAAAAAATAAAAATAAAAAATAGAAGGTCAAAGGGTTAGTCGACCAGAAAACAAAGTTAACCTGGAGAGGCGTCGGGAACAACCGCTACGTCGGTTACGTCCGTGAAGGGCCCCAACAAATAGACACTCCCGGAATTCGGGCCTAAAGAGCGGGACACTCAAGCCAAGAGGAACTTTGTCAAGAGATCTCAGAAGCAAGCTCCCTAAGTGCCGCACAAAAATAAAGAGCCCTTACCGTCACACAAAAGTGCCCTTGTCTCCTTCGCAGCTCGCCGCTTCAGAACGACAGGTTACCGACGACGTAGACGTCTGCCGCAAAGCATGCCCGCCGCGCGACGTTTGCGGTGCGACGCCGGGAGCTGTCCTTTGCTCTGCCCTCGTCGCGCCCCGGAAACCATAGAAACCAATCCCACCGATGTGCGCCTGCGTGCTTTTATTTACCTTGACACCTGGAGACTGACAGACGCTAAACTGACGTTCCTTAAACTGCCGGTAGTTATTTCTATCCCTCTTAACGACAGCTATGATTGGTGAGTGACTTGACGAAGGCCACGCACGAGACAGAACATTACCTGAGGAAGATTCTGGCCGTGCCACTGAAGTGTGTGAGAAGCTAATGGTGTGGTTGCTATAGGGACTAAATGAGTTAGGTGGAAAGCACCGAGGCAATGGCTGGTACTCGGAAAGTGCTCTAAGGCAGTCGCAGTTCTTTTATGTCAGAGTTTCTGCAAGTTTGCAAATAGAAAAAAAAGTCTTAGTCCAAGAAACCAAGTCCTCCCCTGTTTCAGAACACCAAGTGATTCCCTTGGACAACATCAAGGCCTCTGAAGTGATGTGTGTGAATGGCGTGCCAAGGTTGCTTGATGTATTTGGGGCTGTGGGAAGAAAATACCAGAATATTTTTATTTGGCCTTCAGCTCACTTTGTAACCCTGCTGGTCTCGAACTCAGAAGATACTCCTACCTCAGCCTCCAGAGTGCTGGGATTACATGCATGCACACCCAGCTACTTTTAAGTTTTTAATCGTATCTCTTAGGTTTTGTCCTTATTGTGCAAATTTTTAAGTAATGTCTACTAGTATCACTGCAATTGTATATATAAGTAACTTGTAAATATTTATTTGCAATTTGGGCTGACTAGTTCCCCTCTTTTCAGTAATGTGCTATCAGAAATGTTTAGGGAAATCCAGTCTTTCTAACTTGCCAACTTCATTGCACAAAGCCTCCATCCAGGAGTTGGCTGTTCCAGATAAAGTCCTGCAGTCTAGTCTCTTTCTTTTTTTTTTGACTCCTTTTTCCTGCAATGACAGCATTTCCATGCCTACCATTCTTCATGCTCATTTCCAGCTTTGCTAAAGGACTTCTGTGTAGGTTTTTCCCAAAATGGGTTAACTGATCCCAAGGTCAGTGATCACCCATTCTGGAGGGTTTTTTTTTTAAAATCTTTTTGAGACAAAGTTTTGCCATGTAGTTCAGGCTGGCCAGTGATCCTCCTGCCTCAGCCTCCTGAATGTTGAGATTACAGGCATGTGCCACCTCATGCCCTAGGTTTCTAAGGAGTACAACTTTCTGATCTTGTTTTAAGCATTCTAACTCTCTCTTGCCCCTAACCCATCAAATAGGTATTCTACATGAGGCTCCAGTTTCAGTTCACTAGAATTTTTCTTTTCTTTTTTTTTTTTTTTTTTTTTTTTTTTTTTTGAGCAGAATATATTTATTGAGGGAAAGAAAGCTCCTGCCCAAGAGAGGGACAGGAGGGGGGCCCGAGTGGGTTGTCCCCGGGAAGCTGTCTGTTCCAGGAACTTTTATAGGATAAAACCATGTGGGGATGGGCTGGTGAGATGGCTCAGTGGTCTAAAGCACCTGTTTAGAACAAGCTTAGCAAAGCACAGGGACCGCGGTTCAATCCCCCAGCACCACATGCCAGCGAGCCCTGCCCCCTGGTGGGCTGAGCTGGCCA